GGCTAGTAAAAAAGATATGATTTTTTTTGTATTTTTTTAATTAAAAATCCCAAAAATAACGAGTTAAAATTTCTAATTCGTTTTCCCTCTATATCTCCTGATCCACACCCTTTCGTGCGAGGCGCATCAGGAGCAAAGTTCGTCCTCTCGTCGAGGCAAACGTTTTGAGATATTTTTTGAGAAATTCGAACGGCTAAAAAGCGAGATATGAAATTTTTCGTATTTTTTGATTAAAAATTTTAAAATTTTTGATTTTTATTTTATTTAAATGGCGAGAAAATAAGCGAAATCAGGGGAACCCCGGCAGACCACAGTTGGTCCCTGTATTTTTCCCGACATTTTAAGACCCTAGTCGGGGAAAATGGACTTTGTTTGGATAAACGGCGAGCTACAACAGATAAAAAATGTGAAAGAAAATCAACGGGAAATTAAATTTCTTTGTAATTTTGTTTAAATTAAAAAAAAAAAAAAAAAAAACTGTAATCCGATAAGTTTTTCTTCTAAACCTAGTGAAAGCTAACAAAAAAATTTTCGCGTCGAGCAGGGCTTTGCGGTGTGCGTGCGGTGGCGCGCAAAACCTAAAACCCTAATTAGGGGAAACCCTAATTAGGGTAAAACCCAAATTAGAGTAAAGTCCTAACCCCAATTTTGAGAGAAGCGGGTAAATAGAAGGAAGCCATAGCTTCTAGCTTCCGCGTTTGTTGTGGATTATTTTTTGTTAAATATATCCCGCAAAATTGTGGAAATTAATTCGAAAAGTTTTGCTCCATTAAATAATTAAGAATTATTTTACTTTTCATTTTATTAATTAAAATCGATAAAAATTAAAATAAATATTAAAGATTGCGTAGGGGCATTTGTTTGACTTCAATGTACTTCATATCTACTTTACCTATCTGAGGGACTTTTTTCCAAACCCCATCCCACTGGGGGGAAGGAAAACTGCAGTGAAAATTTCTCGAAATTTCCCTTTTAATTTATTTTTTTGCTAATTAATTAACAAAAATACTTAAAAATCAAGTTAAATCAATTTTCCCTTTTTTTTATTATTTCTTTTGATAATCCCCCTTCAACAGTGGTGTTTGAGGGCTTCGCCCGAACCCCATCCCGGCGGGACTAGGCGAAACGCTGCCGAAATTTTAGTAAATTCCCCAAATTTTATTTCTACCCCTAAAAATCTTCAAACTCGGCGGGCTTATATGTGTATTGATCTTTAATATATATAAACTAAGAAAAAGATTTTATCCTAAGTAAGTACATTTTTTTTAATTTATAATTAAAAAATACAAAAAAATTCCCTAGAAGAAGAAGGGAAAAAGACGCTGCGGCAACCTGGGTTCGGGTGAACCTATTGGCTTGTTTCTGAAGGCTTGAGGCAAGTGACGGGAATTTTCAGTTATTAAAGCTATTTTTTTATAATTATTTGATAAATATTCGGATTAAATCAAAAGTCAGGGGTAGAAGGAAGCACGTGCGTACCTCGCGACTCGCTAGGGTTTTCATTACATCCCCGTATGCGCTGAGCGCGAGGTAGTGCTTTCTTCTCGTTTATAGGCAAATTTTATTAATTTAAACGATTAAAAATCCCTTAAAATTACAAAAAAGGCTTAAAAATTCAAAGAGTGAGTACTCTCGGCTCTTAATTTTGGGTTTTTGACTAGGGGACAGGGTCTGTTGCTCGGGTACCTACTCGAGGGTGCAGTAATCAGAACTCCCTCGAGTTGAGCCCACGCCTTAGTTTCGAAACTCGAATATAAGGCCTATAGACCAATCCGAAACCGGGATTTTAACACCCATTCCTTTTTAGATCAGTCTAGATTAGTACGGCTTCGGTGCGGCTCTGATAATCCCTTCTATACTTCTCTCTACCAATGTCTCTTGAGGTTCTCTCACATCCCTATTTCTGATTATTCGTAGTTTTCCTTTTCTCATAAGACAGCTTGTTGTTAGAGGTATTCCCCCATCCCGCCTGCCCTTCTCACTAAGCTTTTTGCATACTGCAGGGTGCCGCTGATCAGGGTTACGGCCCTCCCACCCACTTCTACTCTTGGGCTCTGCTAACCATGGTTTGTGGCGCTCCCCGACAACTCAAAATTGGGCCGGGCTGTTGTCCGTAAGCTCTAATTTCAAGCCAGCCCAGCGCCCCAACTGAAGAAGTTCCTAGCGTAGTTGTTAGGACATAAGGGACTGTTCACAAATACGTACGGGCTGCAGGATAAGACAATAGGTTCGGGCTGCCGGATCAAACATTACGTCCGGGCTGCCAGTTCTGACATTAGGTCGGGGCTGCCGGTTCTGACATCAAGTCCGGGCTGCGAGTTCTGTCACAGGTCCGGGGTGTGAGTGCTGTCACAGGTCCGGGCTGCTCCAACTGTCATAGGTCCAGGCTGTAACGCCTGGCGTAAGTGCCCGACTACAAGTTCTGGTAGCCTATGGAGCCAGACACGATGGGGCCACAACCGACCACGGGCGAAGCAGGAGAGGAGTACAGGACATCGCCCGACCGTGCACTGAGGGGATTGAAGGAACGAATTAGGCTGGGAGCACCTCTGAGATGGGCTGACCAGACCAATGACGGGGAACCTGACGTAACGGGCGAACCAGTCGTGACTGAGCCGGACGAGGCATTGAAGACAGGAACCTCGAGCGGTCGACGAGAAGCGACGAGACAACGCTCCCCCGAATATGAGCGGAGGGAAACCATGGCGGATAGGCACAGGGACGACTGGAGAGAGAGTTCGAGGAATTCCTATTGGAGGGACAAAAATAGAAACAAAGCCCGCCCAGGCGAATCTTCGACCCCCAGACACGGGAGTCGCATCCGCTCCCTTACGAGAACAAGGATCGCTATATTTTTATGCACAAGGCCTCTAAGCCTCCTACTTTTAGGGGTTATGGGATCACATAATATCTGGAGAAGCGGGAGCTTCATGCAAGTCGAGTCAATGGTCGGAGGAGGAGATTGTGAAAAACTTTTCATTTAATGTAGATCCAAGTCTCGGCAAGAAAGTTAAGGAAGCCCGACCGAAGGATAAAAAGTGGACCACGTATAAGAAAAACCTCATTGAACTTTGCAAGTTGGAGGATAACAAGTACTCCATCAAGGATCTTGAGACCATGACTCAAGATGAGGACGAGAGCGTTCGGGCATTCGGGAAGCATTTCCAAAAGATCTCTCACGTGTTAATGGAGAAGAAAAAGATCTCAGAGGTCGAACGCTGTACTATTTTTATTGGACACCTGTCCAAAGGGAGACAAAAGAGTATACTTAAAGATCTCCCGCGCGATAAGCTTGACTTCCCTGAAGTCCTAAAGCTCACGATAAAGGCAGAGGCAGACGACTACAAGGACTTGGTATGGAGAGAAACGAGGAGGCGAGACTTCTCTCTCTATAAAAAATATGCCACTGATAGATGCCCTGATTTCAAGGACTATCCCTGATCGAAAAAGAATGAAGCGGTAACTGAGGAAGTGAAGGAAATAAGGGACATGGTAAAGGGATTGACAAGGCAGGTTACAGAGATTGTGACCAATACGGGAGCCCCGACATACCGGGACAAACCTGGAGGACCCTATTCACTTCGGTGGGACCGTAGGAACACCGATCAGAGAGCGCAAATGGGTAACCGTTACCCATAGCCGGCCGTACCCGACTGTAACCGCCAGGTTACGGGTGGGTATGGGTACCCCTTCCGAAGGGAGAGTTGGGTATGGGCAAGCACAAACAAAAGGTGGTGGTTGTTAGGGCGGGCACAATTGCCCCTTTTGGAGATCATGGATGGGTAGGGGCAGGTACGGGTAGGGGTACACACACAAAAAAAAAGGGTATGGGCGGCCATAAAAAAAAATAGACGGGTATGGGCAAGTACGGGTGACCAAAAAAAAGAGGTGTGGGTACGAACGGGTTAAGGTTCCGATCGGGTAACCGTGCTTTACCCGATGTGAGTCCTGTAGCTTTGCAGACTTTGTATTTTTGCTCAAGCGTGACGCTTTTCTCATATTCCAAATTTCTCGCTTTCCCATGACACAAACGTTTTTTTTCTCGCAACGGTGAATTTTATATCTCTTCATTTTTTTAGTTTTTGTTTTTCAAAATTTCAAACTTTTTGTTATGTGTGTAACCCTGTGTATGTAATATTTGTGTTTGTGTGTGTGTGTGTGTGTGTGTGTGTGTGTGAGAGAGAGAGAGTGTATGTTTGTGCGACAGACCGAGGGTTGTGGTATTTGCAGATACTATACAGGTTGCATAGGCTGCTGTACCACCACATGCATCCATAGCAGCATCAGACCAATTGTGCTTTTGAGGCAGTAGCTGCAGCAACTGCAACATCTCTAAAAAAATAAAATAAGATAATAATATTAATGATAATAAAAATTACGACGTCAATCATACGACGTCCAGGGGGTTGGGAATAGTTGGGAGTGGTAAGGACAATTAGGGTCGGTTAGGGACGGTAAAAAAAAAAAAAACGTTAAGGGCGGTTAGGGACAGTTAAGGACAGTTAGGGGCAGGGGCGGTTAGGGGCGGTTAGGGGAGGGTGGACGCCGAGCACGGGTGGTTACGGGTCAGTAGAGGTACATAAAACTTGGGTAGGGTAGGGTATGGGTGGTTAACAAATGGTTTGAGTTTAGGTGGTCATGGATAGTTTTGAAAACAATTGTTCATGGATAGGTATGGTGAGTTACATGCTAAAGAGGTTCAGGTAGGGTAGGCCAGGGTATAGTATTTTTTTTTGTTCGGCAGGTGGAGATGGGTAAAGGTCCAGCAGACCAGGTATATAGTGGGTATGGGTGGTTGGTTTTCAAAGAGGGTGTGGTTAGGTCAGGTACATGTATTCCTAAAAATCCTAGTTGCGAACTCTGACACCGATCCCTGGAGGAGTATCGAGGAGAGAAATCCTCGAACGCTAACCGATTATCGTGCGAGGGACAGGGAGAGAAAGACGATGAGCCATGGCGTCGTAGGGATGATGATATAGAACGGGACTGCAGGGCTCGCGAGACGTATGGGCAAGCTACGAGACTGGATGATTACTCGCGTAACCCTTGCTACCGATGGGGGTAGAGGCGACTCTCGAGGCCGGTGGGAGTCAGTTCAGGGTCGGCGAGACAGATACAAGGATGGTAGATATGAGAGATCGGACCGAGATGGATACAGGGACGACAGATATGAGAGGTCGGATCGAGATGGATACATGGGTGACAGGTATGAGAAAGGAGATCGAGACGGAGACCGACGGGATGACTCGCGTGGACGGTATGACCGAGGGGGATTCACGACAGAACAACGCGACGACTCGCGGGGGTGGAACGACCGAGGAGATCGACGTGACGAGTCACGCGGGCGATACGACCATGGAGACCGCCGCAATGACTCACGGGGACGATATGAGCAAGGAGGATCCGGACGAGACCGCCGCAATGATTCACGCGGCCGGAATGAGAGAGGGGGATATGGCGCGTCATCTGATCCGTATCCGAAGTCCCCTGACCCCAGAGCAGCCAGGGGTTCGATCTCTAGGAGCGCAGACAACAGGCCATCCACTCCCAGGAACTCTGACGTCTACTGTAGACGAGATGATCATATCAAGAGAGACTGCCCGGATCTCAAGCGGGCAATAGATGAGAGACTTGTCGTGCTTGATGACCGCAAGTACGTCAAGTGGGCAGATGATCTGGGAAACGTATCAATGTTCCCATCGATGAAGGAGAATGTAGAAGCAAGGAGAGTAAGGCCTACCAAAGGAAAGGAGCCGGTGAGGAGCCAGAGCATCAAGATAACTTTCGAAGGAGATATGGCAACCGCACCCATAAGGGTGGCAGCTACCAAGTCGACGAGAGGGTCTACATCGAAAAAGACTGACACGGATTACAAATTGGCGGAGAAGGACGGACAGCGGATCGATGGAGAGGAGGTAATTCTTTTACCGCGAAAGCGAAAGCGGGGAGTGAAAAAGTTATTGATGAAGAGTTCGTTGGATGAGATTGATACGGTTGAGCCACTGAGACGGGCCCTTCGACAGCCCATGTAGTGCTCAATTCTGGAGTATCTGACAGCATCCAAGCCAGCTCGCGACGAGTTACAGATGATCACGCGGAAGACTCGCATACCTCTATCGGAGGAGGTTCCGATGACCCCTAAGGCGGATGCTCCTACCGTAACAGAATCGGAGGTGACTGCTACTGCTAGAGCAGATCGCATGGCGACAGTCCTTCTTGATGGAATGGAAGGTGTGCCTCCAAACAAGTTTTACATGGAGGCGATTATAAATGACGGAGCAGTTCTGGATGCTGTGATCGATAACGGCAGTGAGGCTGTCATTATAGCCGAGGATCTGGCAGTGCAAGTTGGACTGGGCCTCGATAGGTCATACCTATTCGAGATAGAGGCACAGGGGTTTGTCACAAGGCAGCCATAGAGGTCCAAGGGGTACGAATGACCCTGCCAGTCTTTGCATTCAAGAACTGCAGCTCTGACCTGCTTCTGGGATGAACGTGGTTGAGCTATGTGCATGCGGTGACGATAGAGCGACCGGACGGGAGCCAGACACTGTCCATTAAGAAGCTACCCGCGAGAAGAAGTACGGGCCTCTACTTACGGAAGAAAAACGACGGATCGTCGAAGTGGAAGATTTAGGAAATCGGCTGATAATGGATGAGAACTCTTATCCAAATGAAAAGAACGAAGAATTTGACGGCGTGATATCTGTGTCTTTTTTTAAGGGCACAGCCCCCCCTACGCGGAGCAACCCAAACACCACAAGCGAGAAAGGGCACAGCCCCCCCCTACGCGGAGCAACCCAAACACCACAAGCGAGAAACTCAAAAAGTTAAACTTGTTGCGGTACGTCGAGAGCGATCTGCGCTAGAAGGAACATCTAAAGAGGAAATCGCCAAAGGGATTAAGGAAAAAAAAAAAAAAAAAAAGCCGCAGCGTTTAATAGAGGATGAGATAACAAGGATGGATATCGACGATGGAAACTTAACCCCGCAGGAGAGAGAACGGGTACTAAAGGTACTCAAGACTTGCGATAAGGCTACAACTTTCACAACGCGGAACGGGCCGAATTGACCCTCGTTACGCTAAACGAGCGAGGATCTGCACGATTTCGCACACCCCACAATCGGAGCGATTTTTAGCAGCGCTCGCCGGGAGTGTGTTTGTTAGGAAGGATTTTACTGAATTTTTCTCACCTTTCCCGCACAAAATCGGCGACGTGCACTCTTAGAAACGCAGTAATTAAACATTTGTTTATTAGATTTTTTTTTTATTAATCGTTATTTAAAAAAAATATTCCTTCGGCAAAATTTCTCTTTTTAACAGCACCCATAGACACAAATTTTGATTTCTCTTTTATTCCGGAAGGATTGTGGCCCTACCACCCACCTCTTCTCTTAGATACTGCTGACTAAGGGTTGGGTCCAGGCTGTCGCCCGGAGGTTCAATTTGAGTTTGCGCAAGTTGAGGGCTCGACGGGGGCATCGAGAAGAGGTTCGGGCTAGCTATCGGGCGGCCACAGGCAGTGGGCCACCCGAAATCAGCGGTTTTGAGTCTTCGACCCGATGACTAGACCGTATATTGACGATACTCTTGTTTGACCTGACGGGGAAAATTAGGGCTACCCAGAGCACCCCTAATTTTGGATGTGTTGACCAATGAGAGTAACCCTCAAATTAACGAGGGGAGTTACTGCTTCTACCACGGTGTGCCTCACTTCCCTTTCGCTTGCTCCGAGTCTATTCCTGAAGCAGCTCACCGTGGGATGGGAATACGGGAGTAGGCCTTGGCATATGACCGTTTTACTTTGCACAATTGGAGCGGGAATGGAGCCTCGGATTTCATTAATTTTCATACGAGAATTAAAAATGAAAAAAGGAATTAAGAACAACAGAAGCGAAGAGAAAAATGGGATATTCTTTATTTTATTAAATTTCCTCGGCATTTAATTTCAATGGAATCACCGTCGTTATTTGTTATTTCCAATAATAAAATCAAAAATAAGGAAAGGAATAAAAAACAATAAAAGAAGAAAAAAAAAAAAAAAATTGTTATTTAATTGAATTCCATCGAAATTCATTTTTGTTGGAATTATTTTTATTTTCATTATTTTTGATGATAGGATTAAAAAATAACAAATAATAATTAAAAATGATTTAAAAACATAATAATAATAATTATTTAATATTTGATTAAATTCTGTTTAAATTACTCGTGATGGGTTTGGGGCCGAATTATTTATTTACCCTGATTTAACGATCCTCCCTATTCTCCGATAATTGAAATCGCCCACGTGACTTACCTGATATATCTGGTTACTAGCCTTGT